GGCCGATGTCGACAAAAGATGGTAAGGTGAAAGTGTAGAGACTTGTTCAAGAGAAATGTTTGGCTGAGATCTGTTGGGGAGATAAGTCAGTCAAAGGGGGAGGGGGGGTATGCTCAATGCATATGCGACGTATGCTTGATCTTATATGATGCTTGATATTATGTTATGCAACGGTATAGGTTGAGATGTTGTGTTGCAGGTAGGAAGAGATTGTAGGAAAACGAACTCAACATCCTCAACTGGGAAAAAGAAATCCACAGATGACAACAATGCCGTTGGGGAAAGATCCTAGAGATCTCAAACTTCCAGGCTATTACCAATATTGCTGCTGGAGATGAATGAACTCTCCAACCGGGGCTGACTCCATCTGGGGAATGAAAGAACCATGAGTGATCTTCAAATAACCGACTCTTCTTGGAGAAGAACAAGGTCAGGATAAATTCCATTGCGTGAGAAAAAAGAAAACCGAAACACCATCGCTGCTGGGGAATGATAGCTTCGATCTGTTGAGGATGCTGCGAGGAATCCTGCTCTTGTTGGAAAAGAGCAAACATGTTTCTGCTTGGGGAAATTATGGTTATGCTGGGAAATGAAAGGTAACTAACCCTTCCAAAGAACTATAACGATACCTGTTGGGGATCAAGCATGCAATAGATAATATCGATCATCCCTTAAGGATTTCCGGTAAAGCATGCAATGCATAATGCTTTCCTTGTTGATTTAGTTTTTTATTATTCTCAACGCTTTATAGCATTATGTGATCACAAATAATCGTTCATTTTGCAAACAAAATACTGAAAAGAGACAAATGAGAAATCAAAGGATGAATTTCATTGAATATGAAAATATTTGTACATAAAGTATGTACAAGGATGCAAAAATTTTGACGAGAAAATTTACAATAAATTGAAAAACAAAGTAAATGGCAATGGAAAATTTGATTTTTGCATTGATTACAACATTGGTCACCATTCACTATAAGTCTTGGTTCCAACACTTTGCGTCCGTTGATGATGATTTTATTGATCATTTACCATCTGATGTCCAACTATGGTGTGCGTGATTATTATAGTAGTCGCGTGAAAATTACCCCTTTTGCACTAGAGTTTTCACTAAGTCTCATTCTTCCATACTTGAATATTTTTAACTCATTATTGGGTCTTTCTTCATCATTTTGACTCACCTTTCAGTTATTTTTCCCCGACTCTTTGACTAATTAGATGCAATAACTAATTGTCATCACAACTCCAAACTTGAATCTTTCGCTAGTTGTCTTGACAATTTTCCAATTTGCGTCTCCAAATTTTTGATGAACGCATCATGGTTTCTACTCATGGTTTCATGATTATTATTAACCTGTTTCAAGCTAATTTGAGTGGCTTTCATTAAATTTTCTATGGTCTCTTCCAAATCTGAGGGGTTCTTTTGAAAATTAGTAGTTTGTTGATTTTGTTGCATAACATGGTTAGCACTTTGATTTTGGTTGTTGCTCAAACAAAAGTTCGGATGACATCTTCATCCCAGATTATAGGTGTACGAAGAAGGGTTGTTCTTTTGAAAACTAGCAAATTGGACCACTTCACTTGACCCTTCCAAAGAACACCTTTTGTTTTCATGTCCTACTCCACAAAAGTCACACCTAAGTGTTGTTGCCAGACTCACGTTAGCTTTATTTAAGCAGCTTTCAGCTAGCTACTTATTTAACAATTCAATATGACCTAATAAAATAGTTTGAGTATCAGTAGTTAATATACCTTTGAGTGTAACTACCGTCTCAACTTTTACCGATCTTTCACTCTTAGTATGATACTCTTTCAAGCACATATTTTCAACTAGATCCTTGACTTATTGTTCGGTCACTTGTCTAATTGTACCTCCCGCGAAAAAGATACATATGGAAATTCATGCGCTTAACATATTTATGCATGGATCAATATTCCAAATTTTTAACTTTTTTATGTACTAAGCATGCGTTGGAATATAACCTATGCCAACAACTTTAGTGTCTGTAGCTATAACCATTTGTAGGTATATGGAAATTTCCTCGCGCGATGAGAGAATGTTGTGAGAATAGAGTAAGGTTGTGCGATGAGAGTGTGGAGCAGTGTTTTAAAAATCGGACCGGACCGGCCGGTCGGACCGGTTGGACCGGGAACCGGCCTAGTAACCGGTCTGGTTTACTAGTTCGATCGTCTGTGTCATCAAACCGGTAAAAACCGGAAAAAACTGGGTTGGACCGGGAAAAACCGGGTTTAAGGTTGGACCGGTTCTAATGCATTTTTTATTTTTTAATTAAAATTTAAATACAAAAGTTATAAAAATTAAAAAAAAAATTATTTAAAATTAGATTATGTTGCAATTATTTTGTAATTTTGTATTATTTAGTTATGTGTGATACATTTGTTTAAAATTTAAATTTAAATTATGAACTTGTGAATTTATGATATGATATTTTCAAAAAATTTAAGTACTAGTTATATTTGTTTAGAAACTGAATCATCCGGTTCGACCGGTTTTATATCTATATAATGACAGGTCTATTCAACCGAATTATCCGGTTTAATCCGATTTAGTCATGCGGTTCGACCAGTGACCTAGTGGTTCAACCGATAAACCAGTGACCCAATACCCTCACCGGTTCAATGACCGGTCCGGTTTTTAAAACACTGGTGTGGAGCTATATGATGACACTTAATTAGTCACTTAAAAAATTATTAAAAGAAAGAATATTTTAGATTATAAAGTTAAAAAAATTGGGTTATAAAATTTACATATATTATTCTGTTAGTTAGTTAATTACTAAGATTAATATTTAGGGTTATAAAAATAAATAATTTTTTTAGTCCATCTAGATTTAGACTCGTTTTAAATTTAACGAGAGTAATAGAGATTTGATTATAATAATATTTTAAATTTACACTCGTTTTTAAAAATAAAGTATCTATTATTACGTGCTAATACTTAAAATGACATTTTATTTATAAAACTGTCACCGTATTTTTAATTTACAACCATTTTTTTTTTGTATACCAGGGGTAGATTTTAAAAATTATATTTGGGGTAGATTTTAAAAATTATATTCTTAATTTGCACTAGTGGCTACAACATCCAACTCAAGTGTTAATGCAATCAATCTTACTTTATCATATGTGAACATCATGAAGTAGTGACGTGTCAATAATCTATGCCTAAGTGAAGATTATCTTTTTCAGCAATGTTCATATAAGAAAAATAGAGTAAAATTATATACCTGAGTAACTCGAAAATGGAAAAATTCCCAACTAACAAAAAAATTTTTTATAAGCAAAAAAAAGAATTCAATAAGAAAGCACTAGAGGTGCTCCTGAAAAATTTGAATTACAATCTTCTCAAACCAACAAAAAAGCCTACAAAATTTCGAAAGGACATTTATACCATTCATACAGATTACAATGACAAGACCTATTAGGCCGAAGCATCAACCAAGTCCACGATAGAGCGATACTTCTATTCACCAATACCTCTGAATTACCTATAGCGTATTTGAAAGTAATTTAATTACACATCATCCAAATACACCAACTTACCACCTACGAAATCATAAAAGTTGAAACTTTAGAGTATTTCCCTTTCAACTTTGACTCCCATTCCCTCAAATGCTCTCCAACACTAATTGCCACCAATGGAGGAATTTCCTAAATAAGAAATTGGTTTTTTAATGAGGTATTTAACAATTTTCTTATAGTGAGAGGAGATGCAAATATGAGAAGATGATGCAAATTTTAATTGAAATGCAGAAAAAGTGAACATAGAATAATGTATGCAGGAAGGAGTATGCTTGTTATATTTGGTGTTTATGCAGATGTTTGTTATATTTTATGTTTAAAAATGACGTATGCATAAGTAATTTATAAAAAATGCAATTTGAAATGCATATGACATGGTGGATGAAATACATGATTCAGAGGTATGCATTGTGAGAAACTAAATATACGTTGTTAGAATCTAAAATGCAGTTTTCTTATTGTGCATTTATACAAGATAAAAATACTCGATGTTTGTAATTACATAAATTAAATTGTCTAAGATTTGCTACTTAGTGACCAAAATAGAGTAGAAAATATTAGACAAATATGTATAACATGCTCATCGAGAACTGCAGGATCTGTCTAACATATTGTTTGATGTCCACCCACTCAAATATTCCTTGGATTCCATCATATGGCTGTATAGCATATCTAAGTCCTTCACTGTCAAGTTTTTCTATGATAGGATGGTGCAATTTTCTGATCGAGAACTTGTGGATGCACATAGGAAGGAATCGTTGAGGTTAAGATGGAAAGCAGCAGTTTCGGCGAAGGTAAAGGTTTTTGCGTGGAGATTATTGCTCGACAGGTTTCCTACACGACTTAATCTATCAAGACGTGGTATTTCTCTTAATTCTCAAGAGCGGGTGTGTGTCTTGTTTTCCTGTTAATGAGGACTCAAACCATCTCTTTTTTAGCCGTTCCAATATCAAGAATATTTGGAGTAAATTTTGTGTTTGGTGTGGGGGTTAATGTTATTTTAGAAACTAGTTGTTTCTATCATCTAATGTCTTGGATTGAGAAATTGAAGGGGAAGGTTTCTTCGCCAAGCGCTGAAGGTTTATGGTTCATTGTTTGTTGGTGTATTTGGTGGTCTAGGAATCAAATCCTATTTAAGAATGAAGTTGGAGACCCGGAGCTAGTTGTGCAGAGAATTGTTCTCATTTCATGGTGGTGGATCACCAAAAGTGTTAAGCTTTATAGTTCCTGTAACTATTATGATTGGTGTTGAAATCCTTGGTTTTTCCTTTAAAAACTGGGTAATACATTGTAAATTATATTGGTAGTGGATTGTAAATTAGGTTGGAGTATTCCTGATATCTCGTTTGCTTATAATAAAAAAATCATACACAAATATTTTACACAAACATCTAATGTATTTGCACTTTATTTAATGGATTATAAATTAAAAAATATCACTGTTATGAATTAAATCTATCGAGGGTATGGATCAGTAATTGAAGCCTGATTAATCGATTCACGTGATATTGCTGTATCAGAGTTTCCATCCAATATCTGCATATTTTGTAAGCTTCTAGTTTCACTTCCATAAAAATATGCGGGTTTTGAAGGTATCGAAAGAGTGAGAGAATGACTATTGAGCATGAGTGCAACATTTGCCATGGTTGGTCTATCTTCTACATCTTCTTGAAGACAGAGTAAACCAATATGGATACATCTCATTATTTCATTTTGTGAAATATTGTTCAATGATGGATCTATAATATTTGTAGCTCTTCCCTCTTTCCAGCTTCTCCATGCCTGCAAGAATTTGATTGAATGCAGATATTCAAAATATAATTAGCTAGGTCATTTTTAAATTTCAATCAATTTTAGTTAGAATTTTATTACTTACATAGCTCAATAGGTAGTCGACATCATCTCCAAGACAAATAGTTGTACTATTTTTATGACCACTTATAATTTCAAGAACCAATACTCCAAAACTAAATACATCTGATTTAACTGAAAATTGTCCGCGCATTGCATACTCCGGGGCCATATATCCACTGCATATCAATGTAGACAAGTTTAATCAATAAAAAATTGTGAAATTTAAAGTTAATAAAACTTCAATCCTCTTGAAATAAATTGTTGATACAAATAACTAAGTTAAAATTTGAAATAAATACTTTACTTATACTCTGTTCAGATTAATGACGATCTGTAAACTTAAGCATACAAAAAGACTTACTATGTTCCAACAATTCTATTAGTATTTCCTTGAGTTTGATCGATAACAAACAACTTCGCCAAACCAAAATCAGCTATTTTAGGATTCATCTCACTGTCTAAGAGAATATTACTTGCTTTGAGATCACGGTGTATAATACGCAAGCGAGAATCCTCGTGAAGATAAAGAAGACCTCGTGCAACACCTCTTATGATTTCGTAGCGCTTGCTCCAATTTAATAGTGTTTTCTTTGTTGGATCTACACAAATAAAGATAATGTGAATTTCAAGACTATTTTAGCAGTTAGTATTTGTCTAGACATTATGAACTATAAGTAAATGCATTGTTCTAATAAAGTTGATATTCTAACCTACCGAATATGAAGTAATCTAGACTTTTATTCACAACAAATTCATAAATAAGTAGTCTTTCTCTTCCTTCAAGACTGAAACCAAGTAGCCTAACTAAATTTCGATGTTGAAGTTTGGCTACTAAAGTTACTTCGTTTTTAAATTCGTTGTCTCCTTGAGCAGAATCTATTGATAATCTTTTGACCGCAATCATTTGTCCATTCGAAAGCTTACCCTAAAAATATTTCACTATTAGATAAATCTTTTTAAAAATAATTATCATAATATTTTGATAATATGTCCTATTTTTATGAGAGAAAAAATGTAGCCTTACCCGATAAACATCGCCAAATCCTCCATGTCCAATTTTATTAGAATTTGAAAAGTGATTTGTAGCAACTCGTATGGTATCAAAGCTAAATTGCAATGACTCTAAAGCCATTACTTCACTTTCTTCTTCGTCTTCATATTCTTCATTGTTAGCTTTGGACATTAACCAAGGTTAATAAGTAAATTTTTTTTAAAGGTATATATATTATTTTTCCTTTAAAAAATAAATTAAGAGATATCTTAAACTATGCTAGACTAATCATGGTTAAAATGATAACGCATGCATACCTTCAAAACTGTGTTTTGGTTTTCTCAGCCATAAACATAAGCAAATAAGAATGAGTACCAAACCCACAAAAACTAATGGCACTGCGATTGCGATGAAAGTTCGTGTTTGGTTGTGTCCTGCACCACAAAAACCAATGTTTGCATCTTTGACAAGCGAAAGGATCTTGAAATAGATAGGTGTGAAAATTAAGTACCTGAAGAAGTGTTATTGGTGGAATCTGTAGGAGGATTTGCAACTGAGTCTAGTTCAGTGGTAGGACTATAGAAGCGATAAGGATCAAATCTAAGACGACAGCTTGGTTTAAGAACATGTCCTCCCATCTTGCCAGTACAGCAATTTGGAATTTCTGAAATTGCTCGAACCAAACAGTCATTGCAATCTTGTCCTGACAAATCAGGCACACACTGCACAACACCATATATAGTTGCAAAATTTGCAGAATCATACACATTATCTGCGCCATACTTACGACGAGAGTCACCTGATGCAGCTTTGTCTTTAAGTTTTATCATCAAGTTACTCAGTGCTTGTCTGTACTTTTCCACATCATTTGCACCCCTATTGTAGACCACATACATCGTAGGGTCAGTTTCTACGACCCCAAATATGGAGCGATTTGAATACCACAAAGTTAAATGGCTGCCCCACATAATCGACTCTTTTTGATTCGGACACTGCTCTCTAAGATCGGAAAAAGTAGTGTTTATGTTTGTAAGACACTCATTTGGCTTGAGATCTCCCCAACACATACCAATGGCATATACTTTGTCTGGGTTCTGGCCATATGAGAAATTATAGAAACCGTAGTTAATTTGTTTATGGGAAGAGAAACTGGATATAAGGGTTTTGAGGTTGTTGTCGTAGGTGCTGTTGGCTGTGTAATTGCCTTTGGTGTTATCACATGAAAAAGGATCTAAGGCTTTGGCTTGAAATAATACAAGTAAGAGAAAGAGAGAACAAAGAAAGGGAAGGAGAGCCATTGCAAAATAGTTCTGTATAACTTTGAATGATCAAAATTAGGTGAGTGGGTATACTATAAAGGTGTTAGATTCTTGAGTTGACTGTTTCTTTATAGAAAAATTAATTTGATATTGTTGATTTTTCCATATACGTGTATCTTTTTGACAATTTAATAATGTTGACTTGTATCTTTAGAATTAATGGAGATATGCTTTTGGCCAAAGAGTGCCCCACCATGAAAGAAAAAAATGTGTTGTTGAAAAGAAATATGAAGGGAGGACATAATGGTTTGGTGTTGAATTTTCAATTGAGAAGAATTTGTATAGAACAGTTTTGAGTGTTAAATGGTTTGATATTTTCAAAAGAAAAAGATATATGAAAAATGGAGAGTGGTTGAAGCACTACAACATTCTTACTCTATGATAACGTCTATTGTCCAAGATTTCCCAATGCTGCCCCTGTGAGAGTCTGGGCCGTATCTTAGTTCTAGTGTGGTTGATCATTTGAAAAAGCCAGTTAAGTATCATTGACTTGGTCAAATTTTTAGCTGATCAACTACGTAATACTACGCGGGTTCATCAAACAGCGTTTGTTTAATTTTTAAGAGGTAAAAATATAATTTTCGTAGAAAAAAATAGACAATAAATTTTATGTTTTGTTGTAATATGGTATTTATTTTTTCACAAATTTTATACAATAGCTCACAACAATTCTTGTAAATAATAAAGAGAACAAATTTTATTAACAACAGCTCAAGATTGTTTTATTAAATTTTTTTAATTTTTTTAATAAAATATTATTTTATGAGACTGTTCACTTTTAATTCATTAAAATTATAGAAAATTTTATTGTGAATTACAACAAAATTCAATATCAATTTGTGAAGCAAAGAATAATAGCAATAATAATCTGTAGACAGATAATATAATAGAATAAGGCAAGAAAAAACCTAAAGTTTGTTTACACATTTTGATCAAACGATCTACTCTAGAGAAGAGAGCAGCTCTCCAATTCAATATACTCAGAAAGTTGTTACAAGAGATTACAGACGGAACAACCCTATTTTCTATCCAAGTGTTTCCCTGTCTCTCCAACTCTCAATATATGAATGACTCAAATCTCAAACCCAAGTTGTAATCCAAGATTTTCTTTGTGCATAGCTGAAATCCTATGCTATACCTTTAAACCCATGGTCTCACTTGTTGGTGAAAACTCTAAGATTGTCACACATCAGACATATAAGAGATACATATTTATAATAGAAAATATCCAACAAACAAAGCCCAAAATCACATGGATCCATGGACCGAATCGAAAAAAGCCCGAAAACTTGAAAACATTATTCATCATATGGACGTCACTATTCATCCGTACAGATATCACTATTCACTGTTTTTTTCTTGACTTTTCGTCCGACTTTCTAAAACATCATATTTTCACGGTAAATGCAATCTCCAAAATATGTTTTCTTTCTCTTCATCAACAAAGGTTTTTAAGGCACATTTACAACAATCTCCACCTTGACTTTAAACTGTGTTGGTACCAATTTAACAATCAACAACATTATTGCTCTCTACCAAGTTGAAACGTTATTTAATAACTTTGATCAAATTCAAGCAACCCTTGAATCTTGATCTCGCAACTTGAATCCACTTGTTCCCAATTACCCTTTTCTGCCTAGGTAATTTAACAAGACTACAAGTATTATTTTTCAACCACTTTTGACTCCGCCTGTTTTCAAATGCCTCCCTGAAGGTTTTTCTGCTTTTATTTTACAGTCCTTCAGCCACATTAAAAACATAATATCCAAGGCTAGCATAATCATCCCTTTGATATGCTACAATAATCCTCCTTACCTTATCATGAGTCAAATGATAATCAAAGATCTCTGTAACCGTTCTTTCACTACTGCTAGCATTCATAGTAGGAAACTCCACCTCAAACTGAGTTTTCTCCGTTATAGTTTCTTCCTTGATTTTCACTATTCTTCTTCTGAAGAAATTCTCTACCAACCATGTAAGCTATTTTAACCTCATCTCTTCCCCAAAAAATCAATAACAACTCAGCGGTAACATACATTTTTATCCCATGATTTATGCAAAATTCATTGTACTCCTCTGAAACTTTCTCAAGGCATTCATAACGCCTTAAACTCAAATCTCATAGCTCTTTCTTATCATGAAAGCCTCCACTAGTTAACGATGAATGAATAATAACATTTGAACCTTTTAAAATATATAGATCACATATTTTAGACCCTTTAGCAATAATCAATTCATCACGCAAAATCTTCAACATTCCACGTTCAACTCTGGTACAATAGCCTAGATCATCAAACATACTTATAAATAACAAATTTCGCTTGAGCTCTGGAATATACCTCACATTGTGAATAAGAATTCCATGATCACTAAACATTCTAAATCTGACCGTACCAATACCATGAACCTTGCATGCCTTATTATTACCAAGGCAAACTACTCCACCTTGCACCATCTTCAAAATTTCAAAGTATTATGTTCTTGGACACATGTGATAAGAGCCACCTGAGTCAATGACCCAACTATCTTTAGTTTCCAAATTCGATACTACTAGTGTTTCGGCATCCTCTTAACTTTCCTCACCCAATATAACTATAGCTTGAACAAAATCTTCATTGACCTTTCTTTAAGGACAATCTCTTTTAAAGTGACCGATTTTCTAACAATTAAAACATTTTACCTTTGACTTGTCAGACCTCTTTGATTTGGACATCCCTTTACTCTCACCTCCTCCTCTGGACACATTTAAGTCTCCACCCTTATCTTCAATCTTCAAATATTTTGACTTTGAAAATTCTTTAGATTTCACCGCCGTCTGGACTTCATCCGAAGTAATAGTACCTTCCTTACCATAAAGAATGGCATCCTTAAAGTGTTCAAAGGATCTGGGTAATGAACTCAACAGGAGCAAAGCCGTGTCCTCATCATCAATCTTTACTTTAATATTCTCAAGATCATCGCTAATCTTGTGAAATTCTATGAGCTGCTCAACTATGGACTTGTTCTCCACCATTCAGAATGAATAGAGTTGTTCTTTCAGATACAACCTGAGAGACAAAGACTTTTTCATATACAATGATTCAAGTTTTTCCCACATAGCAACCGCAGTTTGCTCCCTGGCAACTTCTCTTAGAATTTTATCCATGAGGCACAAGATAATGGCACTCTTGGCCTTATCCACCATCTCGGTCTTTTGTACCTGTGTAATCCCTGCAGGCATCAATGCTTCACTCTTCAAAGCATCGATACACTTCTCTTGAATTAAAATTGCTTCCATGTTAATTTTCTACAATCTGAAGTCGTTGTTACTAGAAAATTTCTCGATCTGTCATCTACTAACCATGGTGCTCACCTGTCAACAATACCTCTTTGCTCTATGCTCACTGCACCACTTGTTGTGAATATTGTTGTAAATTACGACAAAATTCAATATCAATTTGTGAGGCAAAGAACAATAGCAACCAAAATAAATGGTCTTCAGCAATAATAATTCGTACATAGATAATATAACAGAATAAGGCAAGAAAAAACTGAATGTTTGTTTACCTAGTTCGATCAAACGATCTACTCTGGGGGAGAGAGCAACTCTCTAATTCACTATACTCAGAAAGTTACAAAGATTACAGATGAGTTACAAGAAAATAGCATTCGCCTTCAGGTTCCCAAGAACAACCCTGAAGGCGCCCAAGAACAACCCTATTTTCTACCGAAATGTTTCCCTACCTCTCTAACTCTCAATATATGAATCACTCAAATCCAAGTTGTAATCCAATATTTTCTTTGTGCATAGCTGAAACCCTATGATATACCTTTAAACCCTTGGTCTCCCTTGTTGGTAAGAACTCTAAGATTGTCACACACCAGATATACCAGAGATACATATTTATAAGGAAATACCCAACAAACAAAGCCCAAAATCACATGGATTCACGGACCGAATCGAAAAAAGCCCAAAAAATAGAAAACACTATTCACCATACAGACAATACTATTCACCGTACGGACAATACTATTTATCGTACGGACATCACTATTCATCTGTACGGATATGACTATTCACTATTTTTTTCTCGACTTTTCGTCCGACTTTCTAAAACTTTCAATTTTTACAATAAATGCAATCTCTTAAATATGTTTTCTTTCTTTTCATCAACAAAGGTTTTTAAGGCACATTTACAACAAAATCAATTTTAAAGAAAAATATCCCTTGCTTCAACTGAACAGAGGTCAGAATCTCTTCATTAAAACAAAATTAAAAATTTATTGAGCGCTAGAAGTAAAGAGAAAACCCGTTTTCACAAAATTAGATCAGATGAAATTAAGAGTCTGTTAGTATTTTAGTAGTTAATAGTTAATAAAGATAGTTGTAGAAAATTGTTTAGAAAGAAAGTTATGGTATTGGTTTCTTGGATGTTCAATAAAGTACCAATTGCTTATTTATAGGCTCAAGCCACCAACCTCTTAATGATGGTGAGTGTTTCTACATCATTTTAGATCTTTCTAGATATTTCATGATAGATTAGTATCATGATAGTTCTAAGTTCTTCTATCATTTCCATACATTTATAGTTCTAGGTTCTTCTACTATTTTCATACATTATAGCTCTAGGTTCTTCTATATTTTCATACATATTATAATTAAGAATATTCTAGAAATTCGTAGCAATTTCGACACTCTTCCTTGATGTAAATTTCGGCGACTCCAAGCGTAGCTCGTAGCTATTCAAATCTTGGTCTCGGCAACATCTTCGTGAATATGTCTGCAATTTGATCTTCTGTCCTACAGTAGTCGAGTTTGGTTTCTTTAGTTGCTTCAGCTTCTCTAATAAAGTGATACTTGATTGTTATGTGTTTTGTTCTGCTATGATACACTGGATTTTTCTCTATTACAATTGTTAATTTGTTGTCGCAGATGATTTTTGTAGGTGTCGCATCACTGTGAAGAGGGGCCGACAAAGACAGAAGATTTGCCACCATTC